CTCTCTCTCTCTCTCTCTCCAGGGCCTCATGTAGTCCAGGATGGCTCCTGTGTAGCTGAGGATAACCTTGAGCTGCTGACCCTTCTGCTCCCACCTCCCTAGAGCTCAGATTACAGGTGTGTCCCGCTATACTGCTTTTGCTCTGCTGGGATTGAACCTAGCTAGAGCCTTTTGCACAATAGGCAAGCACTGTGCCAAATTAGACGTAGCCTCAGCACAGAAGACTCATTATGAGTCCACCCTAGGCCTCCTGAGTCAGACACGTATGCGCGTGTGTGTGTGTGTGTGTGTGTGTGTGTGTGTGTGTGTGTGTGTGTACCGATGCTCAGTCCTTTCTGATGACACAGGCCTCGTGCCATTCAGACACACATGCAAGCCCCACCACCACTGGTTTAGCAGCTAGATTTTGGAGAGAAGTAGATGAGGATGGGGCCCAGGTCCTTCAGATGTGAATCCTCAGACGAGCCATTGATCTGTCGGGGGCTCAGTTGCCACATGTGGATGGGAAATAATTACGGTGTTCATCTCGCAGGGGTTGAGAAGGTTAATAGAGACCAAGCAAGGAGCAGAGTCTGGCCCACTGTGAGTGCTCAGGGCTACAGCTATTGTTACTTATCTAGAAGCACGCTGAACCCACTGCTTCTCGGGGTCAGGCAGAGTCCCCTTGACCTCAACTAGGAAGACAGAAGGGGTAAGCAGTGGAACTGAGCCAACACTTTCAAAGCTGGGGGAGCCATGGCTCCTGTGAAAGCTGTCACATGGGCAAGTGACGGGGACTTCCTCTGAGGAAACCGGCCTTCTAAGAGGAGGAAACGTGCCTTGTGCTATTGGAAGTGGGCAGCTCATCCACCCTAAGTCAGCCTCTTAGAGATGGATGGATTGGGACCCCAAGCCAAGAGCGGGGTACCAATGGTCCCAGAACTGCCTGGGACTGGGCCATCTCTCTCTTCCTGCCTCATCCAATCTTTTCTGTTTATCTTCCTCCAATGATTCACATGGCTTGCTCCAGAAACTTTCAGAACTTGAGACCAATCTACATGGCTCATCATCACAGCTCCTTAGACTTAACTGGTTTCAACAGGGAGGGGCTGAGACCTGTGGTTTCAGGACCCTGGATTCAGAGTAGTGAGTGAGTGAGTGAGTGAGTGAGTGAGGGAGGGAGGGAGGGAGGAATGGGCAGAGCTCCCCTTTTCTACTCAGTAAAGAGTTCAGGCAGGTAAGCTCCAGGTGACACACGGAAGAAGAGAATCTCACCTTGAAGAAGGTCATGGTGGCCCCATCCTTGACAGCACCATACTCAATTTTGGTCTGCTTGGCCAGGTCATCAGCAGAGTCGATGGGTGACTCCATGCGCTCCACGGTCAGGAAGGCGGCCAGGTTGGCCGTGTAGGACGAGATGATAATGAGTGTGAAGAACCACCAGATGCCACCGATGATTCGGGTAGACAGAGCTTTGGGCATCAGTTCAGAGCCTGGGAGAAGGGAGGAGAGGCCTTACGATGTGTAGACCATGACATGACCTGGATACTGACACAGGCGCTGAGACCCTTTCTTGAGAGCAGCAGATCAGCCCCAGGGTCCCTCAATATCACTGGAAACTTGATTGAAAGGCAGATTTTTTGATTCACCTCAAGAGTCAATAACTGGAGGGAGGGGAGGGGGAGGGATGAGCAGTGTGTGCACTCAGACTTCAAGTGAGTCTGATTCAGGCTGATATTTAATAATTTACATTCTACACACACACACACACACTCCATTTCAGAGGTTCCTCAGACCCTCTGATGCCTATCCATGGACCACAGTATAAGGGTCGAAACCACGGGTTCTAAAAGAAAATCCTGTTCCCAGTTCTCTGGGTGATCTTCGGCCAGACAATTCTCTTGTTCTGGACTCTGCAAAGGATGAAGAATCGTCCTTCCTCTGCCCCAGCCTCACAGAAATACTGCGATGCCGCAGTGGTATAATTTGAAGAGAGATGCGTCAGAAATACGAGCAGTATACAAAGATGAGATTGCTGCGAGGCACTTGGAAGGAGAAGAAAAATCAACATTTTTGGAAGCTCTTTGCTGAAATGCATCACTCTTCCTCCCCGACCTTGGGTACGGAGCACAATTCAGATGAACCCTTCTAACTGAAGTAATTAACTAGACGGCTTTCAAGAGATTTAAATAGTGAGTGACCCCCGAACTTTCTGGAATATTTGGACTCGCAATCTGAAAGCGTCTGCTTTGATATGGATGACTTTTTTTCCTTTCTCAAAGAAGTCACTCAAGGGAGAGTTTTTCAAATACATACCTAGTTTTTTTTTTTCCCCTCCTAATCAAAACCATGCGGGGGAATGCGTTGGGGGGCCCTGGACTTGAGTAGCAGCAGGGCAGCAGCAGAGAAGTTATTACTGCAGAGAAGGGGCTTCCAGGTCTTTCTCAACTGTCACCGAACAAAGACGATGGGCAGAGAAGGAAGGTGAGGCTTCAGGACGCTTGTTAATAGCGGGGACAGACGGAGGCACTTGCCATGGAAGAAGCTGCCTGTCACTTCCCAGCTGCTGGAACCCACTGATGGGCGGAGAAACAGGTCTTTTCCTCTTCGGCTACACTCCCAGCTCCCAGCACAGTGGACGGCTGTGTGATGGGCACTAAGGAGAATGCCCTTCCTTCCTTCCTTCCTTCCTCCCTCCCTCCCTCCCTCCCTTCCTTCACTCTCTCATTCATCTGGTCTCTTCATCATGTCTTCTGAAGACCAGGGTTTGTGCTGGGTCTTGAGGCTCCACATAAGAGCGTGAAGGTCAAGGGCCTTGTAGGTAGAGCAGGCGATGTGCGGCTTCCCGTCGGGGCATCAGGCTTGGCAGCAAGCGTCTTCACCCACTGAGTCGCCGCGCTGCCCCCTCCCACCTTCCGAGACAGGGCCTTGCTTGTCTTGAACTCACAGTAATCCTCCAGTCCCAGTCACCCAAATGCTGGAATCTCAGATGCGCGCTACCATGCTCGACTGTTTCGGAGATATTTAAGCATTGCCAGACATTCCAAAGAGCTGAATCCACGCTCAGGGCCAGTCATCTTGGGGCCCTCTCTCCAAGATGGAAGACAGTCTTCTGCCATGGGCCCTGTCTCGGATGTACTCAGGCAGAAGTCCCAACCTCAGTCAACCTCACCTAGCCCTGACCTAACTGCTGGAGTTCTCTTAGTCTCCCCAGCCATTCACCCTCACAGCACTATTCGGCAGCCTCCTGCCCACCCTCTGCCTCTGTGGTCCCAGCCCCCAGCTTGCTTGGTTCGGCTTTGCTCAGCTGGGGAGAAGTCTTCAGGGTCAGTCCAGTAGGCAGCATGTTCTGGTCCATCCCAACAACTGTAGAAGGTACTGGGAATGCATCTCACACACCACAGGTTGGGGTGGCTGACCTGCTTTACATCCTGAGCTGGCTTTGGGCCAGAGCAGTGGGGCAGGGTGTGAATCTGGGGTGAAGGCACATACCAGGGTATCCTCAGTGTCGCTAACCTTCTGTCAGCTTAGTGAGGCCTGAGGCTGCCTCCTGAGGGCAGCTGACTCCAGAGAGGCCAAAGGCCCCACTGGGGAGGAAAAACTACCTTCCTCAGACAAGAAGGCCCGGAGAGGGCAGACACTCACCTTGTTGCATGAGGGAGCCCATTCCAAACCAGAAGCTGTTGAGCAGTGTGAAGTTATTCTCCACCACCTCGGAGCCGGGGTTGCAAGGGTGGGCATCATACCACTCGTAAGGGCTGAATCTGCAGGGCAGAGGGAAGCGAAGAGTCCAAGCTGCAGGAGGCTGCCAGGGAGTAACAAGTACCAGCGCGGACTGCCAACCACTCCAGGGGCCCTTTCCTTACTGTCTGGCTGGAGTGATGGGCCAGGGCTGGTTGGGACTGGGTTTCTTCCCGTCCTTTAATGCCAGTGCAGAAGAGTAACCCTTTTCCGGTTATGAAGTGCTTCCCAAGCACCTTGTCAAATGAAAAGCACAGATGCCCTTCTACCCCGGGAAGCTGCAAGTCATTATCTATGTAGGGAAAACGCTCCTACAGGCGCATAAAAGGAAGTCCTCAAGGATGTTTATCAAAGTGTTGTTGGCAATGACAAAAACCCAGAAAATCACCCAAATGTCCTTCAGCAGGGGAATGATTAAACACGCCATGCCACAGCCACATCGAACTATCACACAGCTGTGAGAGAGAACAGCATGCTTCCAGGTGTCCCCCGACAGGGAACGATCTTCATCACAGACTATCAGATGAAAGGTGATCAAAAATAAAAAAAACAGTACAGTCACATCTCTGTAGATTTCTTAAGACAGCCATACAGCTCCACAGGTAAATGTGTATGTGAATGTACACTAAGAGGTCTGGAAGTTTCCATCTATACAATTATCAGTGTGTGCCTCTGGGGAGGGGGTTAAGAAGGCAAAAGGAATGTTAGCCAAACCTGTTGCCTACATGAATTTTTTGAAAATGAGAAAATGCATGTGAATTTCCTGTATAATAAAAAAGTGAAAAGATATTCATTATAAAATATTCAAATAGTATACAAGAATACAACGAGAAGGCACAAATGCCCCAGAATCCTACCCCATGGGGAGAACAATGTGCGATTTCATTTCAGAGTTTTGTGTTTGAGTATGGGAACATATGTCTAAAGGAAAAAGTTGTTGAAAGCCCCCATTCCACACCACCCCCTTCTAAGGAAGAGGATTCCCAACTGAGGGAAGGAAGCCTGGCTGACTGGCTGAATTCTGCTTACAAATGAGTCAGTTTGGAGATGCAGAGAGATGGAGAGACTGAGCAGTTCCTGGATGGGGCAGCTGTGTATGTATATTGGGATGGGATGGGGTAGGATATAGGAAGCAAAGACAGACAGTCTCTTCCTTCCTTCCTTCCTTCCTTCCTTCCTTCCTTCCTTCCTTCCTTCCTTCCTTCCTTCCTTCCTTC